ACACACACACAGTGTACTCGCACTGTTAGCGTGTCACAGCGGTGAAACCATCATATTCATGAGGGTCCTTCATAAATGACCCAACCAGATGTGATCTCTCTGGCTGGCGCCGAAAAAAATGTGTGATCTCTCACAGCCTGATCTGCGTTTTTATTGGTTTCCGAAAAATTAAGTTTTCATGTGATGAATTGACCAGTCCCGCCAAGTGTTGTATAATGTATATGCCTTCACAATAAGTTATTTCCGTGATTCAATGCGCTAACACACACAAACATGCACTATTCGTCGCCCTCACACACCACACATTACCTCCCATGCCGCGCGTGACCGTCTCACCATATCCGTTTCAGTGCTGCTGGGTTTCTCGATCCAGATCATCCCCCGTGCGTACACCTACTACATTTCGAGCGCTCTGTTCGCCGTGTTTGGTCTGAAGATGCTGTACGACGGCTACCACATGGGCCAGAACGAGGCGCAGGAAGAGTTTGAGGAGGTGCAGAGCGACCTGCGCAAGCGAGAGGATGAGGTGAGTATAGAGACAGAGAGTGGGATGGGAGTGGATGCGTGTGTGAGGGTTAATAGTGGTGGCCTGGAGATGTTTCAAGTCAGAGTTTCGAGTATACAAGGTCAATAATCTTGCGAGAAGGGTGGGAAGTTAAAAATGAAAAGGTCCTTTCGGACTATCAGATAAGCTTTGTTTACGATTTGTTCACTCACATTCAGCATGTGAACGAACAGTATTTCTGAGTGGCGTATTAATTGTGTTGGGGTGTCATTTGGCACCCGAATTTTTCAATTTTAGCGCACTGATGGATCAGTAGGCACGGAGGTCAGTGCCGCACGGGTGGGGTTGGGCGGGGCTGTGAGAGTGGGGTGGGGTGGTGAGAACCTCGGGGATGGGAGGGTGGAGGGTGATAGCGATCACAATACCGAGTGGGGAGATGGAGATGAGTGTCGAAGGGGGCGGAAGGATGAATGTGGGGTTACCATCAAGATGAACATTGGCGTTGCGTTTAGTGAGATCGAACTAGCTTTGAAGACAGCCGGCGAGTTCGTAGTTGATATCTTTTGAACGCAATAAGAAGAGGTTTGAGACTATGCCGTAACGCGTCCGAGAATGTAAAACGGCATTGAATGTTGATAAAAGGAAAGCGAAGAGTAATGCTATAATTCCACAGATTATGCACGTCGCTTTCCCAACTACCCTACCTGCGCTGTTTGGATCGTTTGTTTACCAGTGCCTGTTGCTCGTATGTTTGGAAAGCCGCGTTTGTAGCTCCCACCGTTAGACTGAACCAGTTTACCTGGACTGCCACCGTTCGCTGCAACGGCCGATAGACGTAAGGACTTACGTAGGACGACATTGGCGACTGGGCCGAGGACCGTGTGGAACGCGGTGTTTCCTTATACGGACTTGGCGTGTCAGGGCGGCACGATTTTCCTGGGTGATCTTGTACGGCTTCGCTCGGCGGCATGAGGCTTCGACACTAGTCGTGTAAATGCTATCATCGTGGCTTGGTACGGATTATAGTCCTACTTGTTAAACGTTGGGTATGTAGTGCATTGGAGCTGCCATTGTTCACACTTTGTGTTGCTGTATCCCGTTCTTCCCATGCGAATGTAACTTTAATGTATTTGTAACGTAGGTACTTTCAAGGTGCTATTCGCCGTCGTGTGGTATGTGTTTTGGTAAATCGTTCGCAGTGCAGTCCCAATTTAATCCTCTTGTCATATACCCTCGCCATTGTCAATGTTATAAAATTCCTCGTACAGTTCACACGTGCCTTTCCACTGAAGTTTGCACCATGCCCTCCAGTACTGCAACTGCCGTGCAGCCACCACTGAAGCTAAAGCTTGTGAACAATGCACCGTTCGTCGCATCGCCAAAAATACCACACACTCCGCGCTCCCGGCTCCATGGAGTGACCCTGTCTCCCTGCTAACTCTTCCCCTTCCCTCCCGCAGCGCACCAAGGATTCCACGGACATCGAGAGCGGCGTGGCGCGGCGGGGCAGTGTGTTCGCCTTCATATCGCGCGTGTTCATCGAGGCGTTCACGCTCACCTTTTTGGCCGAGTGGGGCGACCGCTCGCAGATAGCCACCATCCTCCTGGGAGCCAGAGAGGTAACTAGTGGTTCGCACGACGGCCGTCGACAGGGTGACCAGAGCGGATTGCCGGCCGCCGCAATTTCTGTGTCAAATTCGGTGACTTGACTGGATATAACTAAATTATTGGGATTGTAGTTGATTGCAATTGTATTAATTGCAGTTGATTGTTCGATTTTTTCTTCAAACAATTTCTTTTGAGGATACTGCACAAGTCGCCTAACTTTGGAACTGAGCTTAGGACATGCTTGTATCAGTGCGGTACACTGTTTGCTCTCTGATCCCGTGCCACCCCGTCAGGACGCCTGGGGCGTGACCCTGGCTGGATGTCTGGGTACACCTTTTGACCTCTGACCCCGTATTACCCCCCCCCCTCGTCAGGACGCCTGGGGAGTGACCTTTGGCGGATGCCTGGGTCACGGCCCCTGTGTGGTTCACTTTGACCTCTGACCCCGTGTCGCTCCCTCTCAGGACGCCACGGCGGGGTGTCACTCTGGGCGGGTGTCTGGGTACAATGACCTCTGACCCCGTGTCACCCCCTCTCAGGACGCCTGGGGTGTGACCTTGGGCGGGTGTCTGGGTCACGCACTCTGCACCGGACTGGCCGTGATCGGTGGTCGTCTCATCTCGCAGCGTATTTCAGCACGTACCGGTGAGTTGGAGAGAGTGGAGGGGACGGGCGAGTACAGATCACTATGACAGCTGTTACAGGCGTGCATCTGCACTGGGGGTGTGGGAGGCTGACGATGGACACTGTGCACTAACTTGTTGGAAAGGGAAGGACGATAGGGCAGTGGAGAGTAGCAGATGACGCTTGTATAGTAACGTAGGTGGAGTTGCGTTTTGCCAGAAAAATCCGCTGTTGTTCCTTTTTCATTTTTACTTCGAGCGACGATGCCTTTTCTTTTTTTCGGTTGTTTTAGAACATCGTGTCTCCAATCTCCTAGTGACCCGCTGACACCGTACGCCCTCCCGCGTTGCAGTGACCCTGGTGGGCGGCGTGGTATTCCTGATATTCGCCGTCAGCGCTCTATTCATCAGTCCCGAGAGCTAGGTATGAGCTCGGGGCCCGCGGTCCCTGCGGAGCCGGTGAGTTTCCCGGCTCGCCCGCGCGGCGGCGCTGCAGTCGCCGGCCGCTAGTGAAGCCGCGGTGAGCCGACCGACCCAGCCCTGTCTTCCCTGGCGCCGCGCTGGCCGCTAGCCTAGCTGCTGGTGAATATACTGAGGGGCTGCGGTGCCTGAACGTCACTAGAAGAGCAGGGTAGGCCTGTGGGTACCGGCTGCCATCGCACTAGAATGTGGCGTTAGAAGAGAGCGGGACTCACGCGTGTGTCCCTTGGTATTGGCTCCGTGTAGGACCCAGCCCATAGGACTTGTTGACGACGAAGTTGTTTTGTAGGTGGAGGCCGGCGGAAAGCTGGCGTTAGCTCTTTGTGTCGGCATTGATGGACATCCGTAGAGATGTGATGTCCTAATGTTAGAACGTAGAGGGCTAGACTGTTGTTTTCCAGGTGAATGTGTTGTGAAAATTACGATCGTGACACAAAGTAACTGTCAGGGATTGTCAAAACACTATTTTCGAACTAGGGGAACTGGGTTTGGGAGAGCGATGAATATCTGATCAGGCGTGAACTAATGTAAAAAGGACGCTGGTCTGAATTATTTACGGATCAAATGTCAACTCGTCATTCACAACACTGTGATTGCTCCTCATACAGATATTAATTCTCGTAAATGCCTTGCTAGCACCTATTGGTTATTAGCGCGGCTAGGTACAAGCCATATTTAAACTCTCGCACGAGTGCAATGCCCTGCCGACTGAGCTGTTGCCGCCATGGATGTACCCTTTCACCGAAAACAATGTTTACACCACGTGAATGTGATTTCTGCCAGAAATACGGCAACTTTTCATTCACGGGCCAACCGGCTAAACAAAGATACGTTGCCAAACGTTTCAGCGGTCCCTTACAAGGGACCAGGCCACTCAGAAGTTTGTCTCCGGCGGACGCTCAGTTCGGGCTCGATTCGGTGTGCTCAAATTACAAACTGTATTATTGTTTCCCCTATTTATTGAGCGTGGAGAGCGTCAGGAGAGGGATGTCGCGGCGTCGGGAGAGGGATGTCACGGCGCCATCCGGCCGTTGGCGGGTGTGGGGATTGGGGTGAGCTGTGTGTCGCTGTCATGTAGTGTTTTAGATCGCGCGGCTCTCTGTTTGTCTTTGTTGCATTTGTCCTCTGGGTATAGCTCTCTTCTCATGGCATAGCGTCGACCCTCACCAGCTAACGATTAGCGCGTAATGTGCAGAATATGTGCCCTGCCTCGCATCGCGCCATGTGGCAGCAATATCGTTGAGATATACTCTTTCTCCTCGTTCTACTTACCAACAAAATCGTATCACACCACCCTTGTATGCACATAAATTCATGTTTCATTCTACAGTCCTGAACGCTGAGGTCGGTGGACCGAACTCGAGAATCGGTGGGGTTGTTCGTGAGATGTACTGTGTACTCGAGTGACGCAAAGGCGCAGGGGATATGCTGTTCACGCTGGAACAGATGGTGTCTTGTTGAAATGGAACCGGACATAATTAACGATATTTGCAGTGTTTTAATTTGGGCACAATGATTTCCTGAATCAGCACTTTTCCGATACATGTTCCGGTGCGGTGAGCACCGCGCGATTGTTTTGTTGAGTTCGTTTTCAGCGGGTGAAGGTGGGCGGAACTCGTGCTCCCATTGCACGTTTGTGTTTCGTCCTGTTGCCCCGCCCTTGGTCGGTATTTCCGACCTGGTTGTGTCGTCCGTTTCACACTGTGTCAACTGTGATGTGATGGCATACACGGAATACACCGGTTAACGTGTCTGCATTTGGTCTACACAGCTACACAAGCGCGTCTACTTTATGGGTTTATTGATGACGAAAGCACGAGCACATAGTATGCGGCGGCCCAGCGCGCGGCCGCCGCCGAATGGGGGGCCGGAGTGCGGTCGGGCGGGACGCGCGGACTGTGCGGAACTACATCACAGCAGGCGGGCCGTGGCGACCCGTAACTAGTGCGCGCGCCAGCGGCGGGCCCGGCCGCTGCCGCCTCACCGCCAGTCAGCGGCGGGACTGCCGCGGACCGAACCATCAACAGCGCGACAACCGTCTGACATGTCAGCGAGGACCGTACACAGGGCGGCCAGCGAGAGAAAATCCGTCCAAAGTCGACCGACGCCAGAGAGGAACGTATCGTTTCAGGGGTCGGTTGTCCCCATACATCCACGACGGTCCAAGTACACGTTTCAAAAGCGTTCGCGCCGCTCGGGGCCGGTCGGAGCTGCGACTGCCGTGTGACGCCCGCGCTTCTGGCTGCTCGCTGCGGGGCGACGACGGCCGGAACGTCGGCGGACCGGGCGGCGCGCACCGCGACTGGAAGTCCTCTGTGACGGGAGGATATATCTGTTAGCCGAACCCATGGGCTTAATTCCCTCCATACGCTTCACAAGTTCTTACGCATGTCCAACAGTCGTATTTATTTTTATGCCAGTAGTAAGCAGCTATTTGTGCCCTGCATTTATCACAAGTAAATGAAACAATGAACCACGAAATAGCCCGGATGTCGTGCTCACATATCACCATGGTCTCACCTAAGTATCCTTAGCGCATTTTGTAGCTCCTGTTGTCCTTGACGGTGCACAGCTCTCCGTGGAACTCTAGGCTGATGTTGAAGTCCAGGTCACGCTGAGAACAACGGCGGAGCAGCGTTAAAACACTACAGACGTGCGCCGGACAGGTGAAGGCGGGTGACAGGGGGAGCATTGGCGAATTAATGACAGAAAGGGCGGGGCTGACAGCAGGTTGCAGGCAAGCAAGTTGACAAAAAGCTCACCCGGCGAGTTTAGAGTCTTAGGGTTGGACGAGGACAAGAATCTCAGTGAATTGTGGGAGATACCTAACAGACGGGGCTTAAAAGTTGCACGTTAACAATGACATTATGAACAGCGAATGCATACGGGGGAAGCAAATTTATGACCCGGTTGAAACAAGAAGCGAAAATGGTTAACCATCTAATTGGATGAAAAAGGGGCACTGTCAGCAAGGGCATCAGTACTGCTAACGTTTCAACGCACTTAATCTGCCCTGCCAATTCATCAGGCGCTCATGAATTTATCATTAGTCGATTGGTAAGGTTGATTCGATGACTCAGCCAGCCACGAATACGCGGCTTTGATCTCAGGCAAGATCAGCCACCCTAGGGGCCGGCGACCGAGCCAGGATACCCCCTGAGTTCGGTTGGCGACTCGTTCGGGTACACAGAGGCGGGACTACACCTGTCACATAGGACGTCTATGGATTCGGCTACCAGACCAAATATTAATGACTTGTCCCGGCGGCTAGTTCAGGTCAGGGTCAGCACTCTGCTATCACGCAATGCGCTGTCTACTGTCCGTCGCATTCACTGACATAGAAAGTCAGACTTCACCAACAGCTAGAAACTTGCCGGGAAGGAATTCGCGTTCCCTGATACGGCGTTCCGCTCATGGCCTTTCAGCGCACTTGAGACTGAACATAGTTTGGTTTAACATCTGCAATGTCCATTCAGCTCACCAAGCGGCCATCGGCGGGCCCCGAACGACCCTTGGCTCGCGGACAGTCGAACACAAAACTGTTTCGGACCGAACATCGCCGGCGGGCATATCTGCCAGCGCGAGGATCGTACACGGTATCCGAGTTTGTGTTTCGAATGGACGTAATGTGGCCGTCCGAACAGAATGGGCGCAAGTCGCGCCAGCGTCCCACAGGGAAATCATTGGGCAGGCGAGGCCACATTTTGCAGAGGGCCTCAGCCGTCGCCCGTAATGACATTTGCCAACCACAGACAAAGACAAAGCTGTCTCAAGCGGAAATGGGCGAACCACGCGCTACGGTCACACAAACCGACGGCCAGAAACGGAAAATGGTGCCGCCTCCCGAGAAAATAAGCTAAATGACCTCTGCTGTTCAGAGCGACACAGAGCTATACAGGCGCCGTGAAACCTGACTGCGCTCACAAATTCTTGCAAAGCGTCGCCACAAAACACCGCATTTCCCAATGTCGCCGACTGCTTGGTTAAACCGGAGGGCTTTTTCAAATAACCTTCATGCTCATTCAGCCAAGGGGCTCCAAGGGATCCAATAAGTTGGATCTCGATATCGAAGTAAAAAAACGTTAACGATTGTTCAAGCATACGCCGCAAATAATCGGCAATATTCAGAGAAAATCCTCTTGAACGGTTACATCCTGCGGCTCCATGAAAGATGACCACGCTCATTGTTCACTCGACGCCAGCCGTCTCATTGTACCGGAAACGAGCTCATGTCCAGATTAAGTACTCTAGACAATCTCAGGAAGTTCATCTAAACTATTAGTTCATCCCAGGTTCAGAAACAAAATTGCAGAACTACATCAAATTTACATACGGACGGTGCCTAATTTTCTCTCCTGGACATCAGTTTCTGTAGGCATACATAGGGATAACTGATGAACAATGAGCTCTCATAAATCTTCGGTAGGAGCAGGGCAATCCGAGATCAGAATGGAATTTAAAATGATTCATTTACGGCATGTGTAGCCGAACTATATTTCAATTTCGTTACTCCTTCCCTTGCTCAAGAATTGGTCATGACTTTCCAGGAAAATGAAAATATGACTCGTGTATGAATGGCCCCGAAAGTGATCTGAGTCATGTCCCCCAATGGTGCTAGAATGAAATGAAAAGAACCGCACGGACGCGGCTGTTCGCAATAACGTATTCCGCGCCGCCCCTGAGCTAACAGACAGACAATCGTTCCATACTTTGTCCCTCCTTGCCCACCCTCCCACCGTCCGTTCAGTCTCACCCCCGTCCCGTGGGAGGAATAGACCGTCACCGTCGCTCGTCCCTCCCTCGGCTGACCGGTCCCTGGGGGGCCACCACCTACGTCGGTCGCCCTCACTCCTCCACCGACACAGCTCGCCACCGGTCACTCACATTATTCCTAGCGTTGGGCTTCATGGAGAACACACCGTCGATGGTCTCGCCCACTTTGCACGTTAGGTAATCGGACGTGTAGAAAACCGTCTGCTTCCAGTGGGTGTAGCGCGCCTCCGGCGCTGAGGGTCAGGTCAGGCGGCCGGGTCAGGGTCGCGGCGACGGCGCCCGGTACTCACGTTGTTACGCGGATTCGGCGAGCACGAGAACACTCCCTCGATCGTCTCGCCAACCTTGGCTGTTATGGTATCGTCTATATAAAACACTGTCTGCTTCCAATGGGTGTAGGCCGCCGCTGGCGCTGTAAGGTCAGAACGGGACGCAGTCAGCTGGCGACTCCGCTATAGGCGGGGGAGGGCGCACGGGCGGGAGAGGCGCACTGGAAAATCATACCTGTTGGGAGCGACAACCAGTCAACACGGTAAAGGCTAAAATGAGGGATGAATTGTGAGATGTCCAAACAAGCAATATTTTCCATATCTTTCTCATGACATTGGACACTGGACAGTAACGAAACAACGCCCTCGTGGACAGTCACTGATTATCTCAATTTCCACAGGTATGATTTTCCAGTCACATTAAGACAGCGGTAGTAAACAGAAAGCATCCTAACGCTGGCACATAACACATGCAACACTGAGATATGTTACAAGCGGGACCCTGGACGGGGCCATCACAAATACAACAGACGTCAAGTGTCACAATGGGTTCATCAGTGGGGTACGTCCAGCAACGGAAGGTATATACTGGAGGAACTTAAATAACTTTAAGGAGGAACTTTATATAAAAAAATAACACGCCAAATTGTTGCCCGGCCAGTGTATTGTGAGGGGCTAGGATTAGTTATTGGTGACGTCAGATGTGACGTCTTCAGCTGAGGGCTTTAGGTATTATAGGTGCATACAGAGCTCACACTTGTTCATTACTGCAACTTTTGGAAATCGAGATCCTATAACATGTCTTAAGCACCATGACGTCGGTATCAGCTGCGTCCTATGCCTCTCGTATCGGCTTTGCCATGCTTCTGAGATATACACACCACATAAATATATAACATCCAGCGTCAGAAGGGCTCTTGTACACACGATTACGGCTGGCCAGCTTATGTTCCCTGGACAACGCCAACTATCACACCGAAAACACCGCCTCTGCCGGCATAAGGCGGTCGGCGCGGACCGAGCAGATTCTAATGAGTCACCGGGGACCGGGTCGGGGAATCAGTCTGCCCTCCCTCCCCCTCCGCCTACCAGTGCCCACACCGGCCGGCCGCGGTCACGGCAACACCGGCAAACAGCGGCCCCAGATGAGCAATAACCATACCGTCCGGCGGGCGGCGGCACTCGGACAATAAGCCGCGCATAATGACTCCTCCGAACGCCGACCTATGCATACGGCCGACTGCCCGGGTAACGGGACACAACACACGCAGACAGAGCTCTGCTTTACGGACAATGTAACGATTGATCACATACCGAGATATTCTGAAAGTCGATAAAACCCTGTAACGATGACTGCCCAACTGTCGCACATCTAAAGCGTCCTGCATGCGCAGCTTACCTGTGCTGAATCCGACGCGTTTGTGACACTTGGTGAACTCGACGTTGAAGTAGGTGACGAAGGCCTGGACGTAGTCGTTGCGGCGGACCTGGAGGCTGAAGGGCGCGGAGAAGGCCAGCTCCTCCTTGGTGATGGTGGCGAGGTCAACCTCCTTCAGCAGACACGAGTTGGTCACCACCTGCCGACAGAGGTCAGGGCGGAGGTCAGAGACAGGGCGGAGGTCGAAAGAGACAGAGTGGAGGGTAAATGCAGATTGGAGGCTAGAAACCGGGGTATTCGTTCAGAAGAGGAGCGGTAAAGGTCTGACGCGAACTATACCGAGCAAAGGGCATCAGCTGCAGTGCAATAGTCTGAAAACACTGAGGTGTTATGCCGAGAACCTGGCAGCTGAAGTATTATTTCCAGTATTAAAACGGCCATGTAATAAAGGTGGGAGACCAGCCAAATTGATCGTACGGACACTGGGAAACATATCAGATTAACTTTTAGACTCAAGAAAAAAGTTACACAAGAATATTTCGAATATAGCACAGCTACATGAGGTTCTGTTCTGTCACGGCAATATTGGAGCTATACATGACCCAAGAAACGTCAAACCTGACCGATCCTCGCAACCCCTGTGGTTTTATTGCATCGAAACTGCGCGGTCTTATCCCAATAAGACTATTGCACGCAAACCGAAATAAACACCCGTCTAATAACTCTCCTAACACAGATTTACAGCACAATTCTCAGTCAGCATTCCCAATCGGCAAAAAATCGTCCGTCGGGCGCACGCCACTCAGGTTATTGTCTCCGGGGTGCGGTCCGTGGCGCCTCTGCCAATACGGGATGACTGTCGGCCTCGGCACAAAACCCACACCGGCGTGCCGAGACGGGCGGCGGTCTCCAGAGACCTGCTGCCATGTGTGCCGACTCCGGGCCGCCGAGATACGCTCTCTGGGGCGGCGGAGGGTCTGACGGGCATCGGCCGCCTGTCACGGCTGATCGCCGCCGCCGGCCGCCCGCGCACAGACGGCGGCTCGCGGGCGGCCCCGGCGGCCACTTACTGGCGGATATACAGACACCGAGGGAGCGCGCCGCTCGCCGATACCGCTCGGATGATGCCTACTGGGATATATTCGGCACGGACAGGTACCACGATCGAACAATAAAAACTCGCCGGTACTGCACTATCCGGCAGATTGCAGTCTTGGGCCTTACTGATCGGCGGCTTGAAGTCTAAAGACAGGCTGCTAAGCGCACTATGCCCAAAGGCAAAGGCAGGGACGTGGGCAACGCAGTAAGTCAATCGATCTCAAATCCGCCGAAGATCGGAGCACCAAAGTCAGCAATAGTTTTCTAAACGTTCGTACGATTTTAGTATTCTTCATAGCTCGTACATACCTATATATACGACTTAAAACGCCATAATATTGATTTGATTACGGAGCGAGCGAAGCGAGCGTAGTCTTTCCTTAGATTAACGGAAATTTCTGAGTATGAGCGGCCGGCCGGCCGGCCGGCCGGCCGGCCGGCCGGCCGTGCGGACGCTTTTGCGAGGCTTATATCTCAGCAACCACTTGACCGATTTACATGCGGTAATTTTTGTAGGGTAGCTTCATTCCTTCTACCAAGTATTGGACTATTTCCGATGCATGTGGGTGACCCCTTATGCACGTGCCACGTGCAAAACGAAGAGGTGTCACTTTTGTAATTGTTGCAATATCTCGGTAACTACTTGGCCGATTGCGCTGAAAGTTGGCATGTAGGTAGGCACCCACTAGGCACTGCATATCCATGTGCCAGAATTGGCGTGCTGCTGCACGTGCGCACGTGCAGGGGTCGTTTCCAGATCTCGAGAACGGCTGGACCGATGGCGGTCAAATTTGGTACACGGTTAGGGACCAGCTAGTAGGGTGCCGTGCACAAGTCAGTTGGGACCCATTTTGCACGTGCGCACGTGCAGGGTGCCGCTCCCAGATCTCGAGAACGGCTGGGCCGATTGTGCTCAAATTTGGCACATCGCTAGAAACCGGTCAGTAGGTTGCCGTGCACAAGTCAGTTGGAGGTACCCCCTCGAAATTTCGCACGTGCAAGACTCACCCCCTCGCTCGCTCCGTTAGTCGCCCCAAGAGGCGCTATACTGGTCTTACTGTCGCGCTAATAAGCCCGATGTTTGTTTGCTGTTGAGTTTATTTATCGGCGCATTAGGTTGACCGCTGTGGTCATTTCGCACCCAGCCCGAAATGTCTCCATCCTGGCCAGCACGTAGCCCGTATACCGTGCAGCGCGTGACCAGGATATAGAACCATCCGCAGCCGACAGCCGAGGGCTATACCGACCTGTTTGTGGTCGACCACGTCGACCAGCGGCTCTGAGACGGCCACCTCTCGGATGCAGCTCATGTCGAAGCCGTACACGTCGTCCCACCAGTTGATTTTGTCGTCCTTGTACTGCCGATCCTGTGGAAAGGTAGCAACGGGGGTAAGCGATACGAATAACGTCCACCTCATCTGGTATTCAGTCAACTCATAGGATAAATGTGACACATAAGGTACCATCAGATCGTACCTAATTTGTCACATTTATCCGATGAGTTGACCGCATACTAGATGAGATGTCAAGTAACACCAATTGTAGTAAACTCCAATTACTCGTAATTACGGAGCTACATGTCTAAACGTGTTTATTTTATGAGTGAGATCGTCGGCAGCGATAGAGCTCACCTCGATAGCTGTGATGAAGAGTGTGGCGCGGTCGGGGAAGAGCATGCCGTCCTTGGCCAGGTACTTGTCGCGGGCGTACAGCACCGTGTCCAACATGGACTCGTAGAAGAGGCAGTAGCCCATCCACTCGCTGATGATGATGTCCACCTTCTCCACTGGCAGGGTGATCTCCTCCATCTTACCCTTCATTATCTCAACGACTGGAGGGATAACATGCGTGGGATTAATCGACAAAGAAATCGACGATCGGCCTAAAAAGTCGAGAGAACCGAGCCATTTTAGGAGAGGAGCTTTTAAATCTTATCTCAAGTTCGGAAAAAGCAACAAAGAGTACGCCCGTTGATCATTAATCGTCAATAAAGATAATACAAACTTACGTAAGCTTTGCTACGTAAAACCACGTTAGGGTGGATCGAATCAATTCATTGCAAATTTCCACGGGCAGGCAAAGCGTATTACTCAAGCAAAATGAACGTAAGACCATCGAACCGTGAATTATTTAAAAGAAGGATCAAAGCTGTATGCGATACCAGGAATTGATAGTAATTTATCAAATACAACGTCACCTCCACAAATTACATAGGCCAATGGCCGGGCCCGGCGTATCATTTATCACGACAGGACCGTCACGTCATATCAAACTCTAAATCGATCTCCGAAATACCAAAACTGATACAGCGACTATCCTTCTTCCACATCTAACCCACTTCCTGTCGCCTCCAGCACGTACTGTGGTCGAGTTTGTTGGCCTTGACAATGGTCTTGGCGTGGTCGACGATGTTGGAGCAGTCGACGCCGATGACCTTTTTGGCGCCTGCCTTAGCGGCGAACATAGAGAGGATGCCGGTGCCGCAGCCGACGTCCAGCACAACCTTGTCCTTGAAGAGGTGCCGGTTGTGGTACATCGAGTTGCGGTAGGTTAGCGTGCGCACTTCGTCCTTCAGCATCTCCTGTGGGTGGGGGTGGGAGGGGGGGGAGGGGGGGAAAGGTGAGCTGTGTTGGACGGTCGCCACAGGAAATGATGAGGTGAAGAGCGGACGTGGATGGGACGGCTGTGGGGCAGATCACACCTCTGCAGTTTGGATATCGAGCGCATTATTTGAGAGGACCATTCTCCCTGCATAAAACAAGTGATTAGTCCCAAGTAAGAGACATCCATGGTAATCCAGTTGTGTTATTAATTTCATGTAATTGCATGCAGTCAACGATCATTTAAAAGTGAAAAAATAAGAGCAATGTTACATGAATTATTTATTTTCTCAGTTAATCGATCTCAGGTTTTTCAGCGGAAGACAAGTAGAACCTTAAACAACGTTCGAAAAAAAATGTCAAATCTTTTTCACGGTCGCGGTCCAAGCCGAGGCGTTAGCTATGTGCCCTGTGTTCTGGGTCACGGGACAGCACTGCAACTGTCACCCAACTCCCCTCGAATTCCCCCCTCCCCCGCTCTAACACCCCCGGCCGGATCGCACCGGTACGTTTCCGGCCGGTCCTGGTGTCGACATGGTGTGCTGCGTCACAGTGCCAGCTGCAGTGGGGTGCATTGAACCGCTCCTCTCTGCATCGGAATGTTACGGGTGGCAAGGTGCAGCCGCACGGCAGGGAGCGGCAGAGGACGTGTCCGTTTGATAAAATGTTTGTACAAAGTACGGTGGATGCGGTAGAAGCAAGGCAGTAGGACAAATCTGTCCATCCCAAAAATCCAAATAGACAATTTTTGTACAGAAGAAAAAGACATTGTCCCCTAGGTGACATCATTTTTTTTCTTCAATAAAGCACACAAATTGTGGCAGCAATTATTGCTGCTGGCACACACAACCAAAATACAATTTTGGAATGCTGCAGCAATATAGAGCTGCCTGGTATCTCGGTACCTTTTTTTAATCAATAGTGCCCAAAACATGATTTATACAAAGTTACTTACAAATAGTTTGACTTTCCTGGTATTCTTTTTCCTGACATTAACAATAACAAAATTAAAAGAGAAAATCAAGCTCCTTCAAGTGCAGCCCCAGAACATAACCTAGTTGTGTCTCACTGAAAGGCTGACAAGACAGTAGGTGCCTATGCAAAAACCTGGCACATATCAACCCTGACAGTCCTGCTCAGTTCATCAATTTCTTTTCAACTACCTATATTGGTTGGATATCATACCTGAACTATAAGACATCAATCATCAAGGAGTGGTACCTATAAGCATGCATACCTACTCATCAAGCCAGATGCCTAACCAGTAAGTCATGGTCATAAAATTGCACTAAGCAGCAAAATGTGCTAAATTTGCTAGGTAATTCTCTAGTGACTCACCTCATGGATGCCAAAGTGGGCATATGAGTCAAAGTAGTAGTCCTTGGAAGTCATCTCTTCTGGTGAAACCTTTTCATCCTTCTTGGCTTTGAGGAGCTCAGCATCTCCAGCCGCAGCATCAGCATTCACAACCTGAGAACAAAAACAATCACACAATTCAACACAGAAGGTAATGTAAGGCATTATGAAAGAACAAAGACAACAGCAAGACTGATGTTTGGCAGGGTCAAAGAGGATCTGAAATGCTGATGAGAGCTCTATCAACCTTGGCGCATTCATCAATCACAGTAAGATGAATGGTGACTGAGAGAAGACAGTAGCATCACACTCAGCAGCATATTGCACGACCAAGTCACGGCAATTTAGATGATGCTACTGTAACGGTAGATGCATTTTGATACTCCTGACTTGGGAGAGGACAAGCACCATGACCATCCACTGTAACATTCACTGATATGTAAAAAATGCTAGATTTATGAGGTGCAATTACAGCAATGCTAGCATCTTTATATGCAACCAAATCACAAAACCATTGGAAATCTTCAATCACAAACACTTTGTTTGTGTTGGTTGTAGCCTGTACCCTGTAGGTTGTAGGTAGGATCAGGTCAGGTTTGATTAGGTTATGTTTGGTTTGATTAGAAATCATCTCAGCCCTCTGTTCACGGGCCCTGTGTGCGGTCGGACCGCACACAGCCTCCAAGCTCCGCCCACTGCGTCCCTACGTCAGCCTTCCGTCACCGCACACAGCGATCGCTGTGGCCGGTCGGGACTGGCCACAGCGGACCGTCCACCGCACGCAGCCGTGACGTCAGAACCGCCTACCCATCCCCTACCCCCACGCCTGCTGGACGCACCGCACACAGCGCACGCAGCAGTGTGCGGTGCCCGTGAACACCCCTCTGGGCATAGCACCTCTCCTTGGTTACATAAAACAAGTGTGATGCCTGCTTTATGACTGCCAGATTGGGAACCTCAAACCTGTTCTTTGAATCGCCATGCTAGTATTGAAACAAATCAGGAACAGAAAGCAATAATTCCACTATAAATGCCCCATTTGGTTGAAAGATTTTTAACTCAGTGGAGCGTGGATTCAGAAGGGGAAAAGCTGATGATGAAGATCAATGGAGGCAAAGTAACAGCGGAAACAAGCTCTGTAAACACTGCAGAGAGAGAATAAATCATTTAACTTACTTACTTACTTACTTACGAAGTACAGAATTTGGATAGGCCAGACTAGGCCTTTAGAAACCTTTCTAGTCGAGCTCCTCGTGCGTCTGACTATTCATCTGCGTGAGGGATGTCGTGTGCATGGTGTGCCCAGTGAGCGTCAAGCCGGTTTTTGAATTGGTTCAGGGTGTCGGATGCGACGACCACTGACGGTAGGCTGTTCCAGTCGTTGATGACTCGGATGGAGAACGCGTTGCGCCGAATCCTGGAGACCGCTCGCGGCTTGGCTAGTCTCCATTGGTGTCCTCTTGTAGCAGGAGTTCTGTCGGCTGCCATCTCGAAGAAGTTGCGAGGGTCCATGTCAAGTCCACCGCGGAGCAGCTGATAAACCGCGATCATATCTCCACGCCTCCGTCTGTAGTACAGCGTTGGTAGCTGCAGCACTTTCAGACGCTCTCGATACGGGAGGTGTCGAAGATCGGGAACCAGCTTGGTCGCCCGCCTCTGCACCCGCTCTACCAGCCGCTGGTCCGCCCGGTTGAAGGGACCCCACACTAGGTTCCCGTACTCAAGGTGGGGTCGGACAAGGGCCTTGAGGAGCAGGGGGAGGGTTGATTTATCAAGAAGGTGGAAGGACCGACGAATCACTGCCATCACTTGTGTTGCCTTCCTTACGGCCGCAGCAGCCTGCTTCCGGAATTTGAGCTGGGTATCCATGAGGACGCCAAGGTCTCTCTCGACATCCGACTCCGCGACTGTAGTTCCCCCCATCCGGTATGTGTGGTGCTGGTTGCCTCCGCCGATGTGGAGCACCTTGCACTTTCCAGGGTTGAATGCCAGCTGCCACCTGTCTGCCCAGTGAAGTGCCGCGTTCAGGTCCTCCTGCAGGGATGCCGAGTCGGACGGAGAGCAGATAGGTCTATAGAGTTTGCTGTCGTCGGCGAATATCTTTATCCCGCAGCTTAGCGGCTCCGGCAGGTCGTTCACGTACAGCGTGAAGAGCAGTGGAGCAAGGACTGAACCCTGTGGAACACCGCTTGGTACAGGAGCCCAGTCTGACTTGCTGCTCCCAACAGTGACTCGCTGCTTCCGTCCTTCCAAGAATGCGCCGATCCATCTCAGAATCTTGCCTCCGATGCCGTGAGCTTCAACTTTCCTCAGCAGTCGTCTAGGTGGGACTGTGTTGAACGCCTTGGCCAGGTCTAGGTATATGACGTCGACAGGTCGGTTGCCCTCAATCATGCTGCTCCAATCTTCTATCGTTAGCAACAGCTGAGTAGAGCAGGACCTCCCTGGACGGAATCCGTGTTGGGCGTCATTGATCAGGTTCTCTGACTTAAGGTGTGCCATAAGCCGGTCGCGGATGATCGACTCCAAGAGCTTGCACGGAACAGACGTCAAACTGACTGGCCTGTAGTTCAGTCACAGGCCAGTCATTTAAGAATTAATTTTTGGTGCTACTCAGGAGGCAGCATGATGCACAGTCATATGATCATAGAATGTAACAGATAAAGAAACACTTCGACAAATAAGCTATATTTCAAATATCATTAGAACTACGCATTGAGACCACGTGTTGACATTCATGGCGCAGGTATGCCAGCTCAAACCAGGCAAAGCATCGACGTCTCATCAAATAACATAATGGTTTTCTTACCTCCATTACTTCTGCCATGTTAGCAAGACTGGTTCTTTCTTTAAAAATATATAAATCTAGACCTCACAGCCGGTATCCACTACCCAAACCCAGCAACTTCCCCGCGCGCCAAATTCCCCGGGAAAATTCAATGCGCCACCGCGTGTTTCTGAATTGATTCAAGGTTGGGAAAATGAAGCTTGATGTGAAGGTAAAACACAGGAAACTTTTGAATGTGCTATTTCAATGACATGGGACTTCTGAATGGAAATATTTAAATAGGTACGTACGTGGGTAATATTATATAGGCAATAGGAATCGTTGTTACGAATTGTGAAATGAAAATTATCGTTCACATTCTGCAAAATATTAAACAATTCATTATTATATGACATGGCAGCAAATCTATTTTTGGGAAGGTGACGGCGTCTAGACACCCAAGTTGAATTATTTTAATGTTAGCGGAAGATCGCGTTCGCAATCGCAAATAGATCAATGCTTCCCCAGTAAACATGCCGACGTCGGCCCGACATCGGGCCGAGGCTCGGCCCGACGTCGGCCCAAAGTCGGCTCAACCTCGGCCCGACATCGGCTGGACGTCGGGTACGCCCGCATGTACCGACGTCCAGCCAAAGTCCAGCCGACGTCCAGCCGACGTCGGGCCGAGATCGTTTGCCGAGGTTGACAAGATCATTTGTCAATGTCGTTGGACCGACGGGGCCGACGTCGGCATGTTTACTGGGACAACGCGCCAAAAATACCTATCGGCTATCAACCGGCGGAGGGATTCGAACCCCCCAGTCACCGACGTCGGCATGTTTACTGGGACAACGCGCCAAAAGCATCAGCCGGCGACGGGATTGGGATACGAGCCCCGTGTCATTTGAACGCGAGGCTAGTGCGCTAACCACTACACCACGCAGCCAGATGGCAAATTCGGTTTGTTTTGTTGGGCGTTATGCCCTTTCGGTCTGACAAGACCATTTCAGAGCCGGAATGATGATAGGATGGAGACATTGGTCTTGGCGAGCACCCTGGGTCCAGTTCATATAGGTACCTAGAATCCCATTGCTGTTACGTGACACTTATTGGAAAGGGCGACCCCACTAATGGATTCAATTTCATATAGTCACCCTTACACACCTGCACCAACGTTTCCAAAAGTGTCCCTTTGATATGTCGGGCACTTTGGCAAGGTGACACTTGCCGACTGGCCTTTCTATATGAACTGGGCCCGGCCCTGGTGAGTTGCCGGGGCTGAGCCTGACCAAATGATAGGCCCGAGCAGCCCCCAAGCACTTACCGCACCCGGCTACGGGCGAGCTCGGCTTACGGGCAATCCCAAATGGGATAAAGTTTCCCGTCCAGTACGGATCAGGGGTTGCGGCGTGGAGGAAGATTTGACTTTCCTGAGGATATTTTGAATACAGAAGCTCTTTATGAAACATGAAATATGCATTTTATATTATTTTGACGGTCAAAACAGCGGTCGATGTCGGTCCGACGTCGCCCCGACGTCGGCCTGACGTCGGCTGGACCTCAGCAATTGATCTCGGTCCGACGTCGGCCCGACGTGGGCTGGACCTCGGCTGGACGTCGGTACATGCGGGCATACCCGACATCCAGCCGACGTCGTGCCGAGGTTTGGTCCGACGTCGGGCCGACGTCGGCATGCCGATGCCGAGATGCCGACGTCACCCCGATGTTTGTCGACGTTGGGCCGACGTCGGCATGCTTACTGGGTCTTACCCAAAACAGTACTTTTTTGCCTGAATAAAGGATGACGTAGTGGCCTCCCCATCAGTTGGAATGGAAAAGCATCAGGCTCCCTTAAATCCCGGAGGTCCTCAGTGATGAGGGAATGAGGGGTTGAAACCGATCAGGTGCTCAATGCTCAATACCAGCAAACCTCAGGAGTCACCAGCTAACCTGAGACCTTATAGAATTGGGTCCTGTAACTGTCTTGCATCCTATAACGGCGCACAGCCGCCTCGTTCTTTCCGCATGGGGGGCGAAGCGACAAGAGGGCAGTCGCACCCCTTTCCTTAGCCTAAAAAAAGATAGCTGTGACGAAAGGAAGCCCCTTAGCATCGACAAAATTGATCTGCCATGGCCTAGAAACCACTTTGCGATATCGTCGCTGACCCCGCCGATGTGCATTATCACCTTCTCTTTCGTATGTGTTGAAGCGGTCCAGTGTTCAGCCGACTCAGCTCCTCTGCCACAGTCCTCGGGTCCGGCGCCGGTGCATGTTCGGTCATCTGTACCACCGTCCGGTACGATCGGTTCGGCGTGCTCGCCCCTCCCCACCTGTAACCGGGCTCTCTGGTGAACGTGTCGTGTCCAAACTAAGGCCACGAATGCGTTTACACGGTCAGCGCGGTTGGTAAAGGCAGACTTAAGTGGGTGGCGACTGAGCTTGTGACCCGAGTTGTATGTATCTATACCTAGTAGTTAACGGACCATTGCAGCGGAAGTTATGCAGGTTATGCAATTATTAGGAACGATGCAATTATTAGGTCTCGCCCTCGGTACCTACTGTAGAAACAACCCGAGTCATAAACGTTACCTAGAGGCATATGCCCTCTTCATGCAAATTCAATCGATCATGGAATAACTTAGCACTCACCTGTGCGGCCACTATCATAGCCAGGCTCCCCAGCACGGTTAGGTGCATGGCGTATACCGCGCAGGCGGAAACTGCGGCGGCTGGTGGGTCGGATCAGGTTGTACCGCGAAGTACCGTGCGGAGCAGCGGTTGAGGACCGACAGAGCTGGTGTGCCACAAACACAGTCGCTCTGACAGCGCTGCAAAGTGCAAACTGCCACGCTGGCGCGGTGGGGATGGCAATGTGGCGAGCAGCATTGTTGTATGCAGCCGAAATATCGTCCCACCCATTTGTGGGTAATTCGAACAGCAGCCCGTTGCAACCGACGGGCTGGTGTTAGATAAGATAGAATCTGTCGTTTGTTCGAGAGAGGCTTGTTTTGTGCCAGTTTGGCCCATTTTCGCTGAGCCCGTAGCTGAGCCGCCGCTCACAGCGTTCACTGGTCGGACACTGTAGCCGCCATGCAAATGATGTAGGTATGCCTATACAATATAAGTTGAAGTTGTGCTTTGATAGGTACCTACCTATATGTAGTTATAGTTGTGTCTGTGTGTATATAAGGAATAGGCATACTGTAACTATACATCTACCTGCACTATCAACTTACACAAATACGTGTTATGAACTTATGACCAATATGCCATGTTAAAATTACGATTTTCACAGACTCACTGAATCATGGTATAGGTATGTACGTAAAACGGGTTGTTGACAAGGCGTGATTGAAGAATGAAGAAACAAAAGTTATCGTTATTCTCTTACAAACGTAGGTATTCATGTTGCACCATGTACAACTGAAGCACAAAATTAAGGATTAAGGAAGCTCGCCAATAACAAATCGCCACACAGGAGTCGGTGAAAATAAAATTAAATAATGAAACGCATGTCATAGTTGATGTCTTATCAGGATGCTGATTTTAAGTCGTCCAGGTCCATACCTGGCGAAGCGATAGATAGACTTACTTTCCCGGATGATGAGACGTTCAGGACACGTTTATTTTACATTATGTAAGCTGGTCCAGTTTGCTATACTATAGTTGCTTGATGCTTCTTCCTCTTTGAAGTGTTAATGACTTCAGCGAGTGCAAGTAAGGCTACTTGTGCGCTGCACGACGCACGTGCCACGTCATCATTAGGGATTAATTCAACCCTCTCATGTCTGAATACTCTTGAAGAAGTTATCTAAACGTTCCCAAATTGTTTCAGTTGTTAGTTGGTTTCGGTTAAATCATTCAATCCAATTAAAATTATGTTAGGCCTGTATCATATGCACTGTTTATGTATGTACTACTACTTATATGAAATAGATACAATTTGTGCTAAAGAAAGTAAGCACCGTAACACCTATAAGAACCGTTTACATCCAACCGTTGTGGGAAGTCTGATGCGGGGAAAAGTCTTTTTGTGGAAAAGGCGCTATAGTTAGTCCGGTATCTCACTCTATGGCTAGATTTCTACTGATGTTGGCTCTATGCGTCCTCTGCTTTGAGACGGGTCAAGTCAAACGAACTGTTTATTACCTACTGTGGTATACCCTTGAAAGCTCACATTGAAAATTAACCTAGAAGTCGTATCTATGCTCTTCCGTGAAGAAAATACGGCGTCTAATGTGAATGCGGAAAAAATGTCTGCAAAAAATGCTCTCTGCCTTGCTAAAAAAATGGGTTATTGATCCAATAGGACACCGAGGCGGTCGGCGCAGGTGATAGTGTCAGTTTTCACTATTACGTGCCCTGATAGTGATATTGGTTGTCCAGAGGCGGAAATGAGGGGCATTTCCATGCAGTCGGCGGACGGAAGGCGCCATGAACTCCATCGCGAATGTATGAGTGGCTCCTGTCTTTGTGATTTATCCAGCCGGCATTAATGGAACGGAGCGATCGGCTGGTCCACTGGTCTGCAGGCTTTGTGGTGATTGCCCCGAGTAGGTACACCATAGGGAGGCATTTTGAGAAAATTGGTGGTGACATGAATCGATCTAAAGTCATTCATGAGTGGAATCCTCGCTGTTCTAACACATAACAGGTATTCATGCATTCGATTTTTTTTAGTTGTGCTTAGCTAAAAATAAAAAGAAACTGATGACGAAATAAGAAAAGAGCATGTCCCCACAAGGTGTGCCATATTTTTATTGGGGACACTAAACAGCTTGAATAAGCCATTTGTTTTGTACGGTATACCATTCTTGTGCAATTCGTTTGATGGGCGCCTATGTAAATGTGTGTCTTCATTGCCTGTTTATTTGGGCACGTAGGCAATCACACCGTATAAGGCTTGCGTCATGTCCGGTTATGTTCGAGTGGTAAACACTTCCATAAACGGGAATGCAGGTTCCATAAACGGGTGTAACACTGGTCAATACAATACATCACACCCGCAGCGTTACCGCAAACCAAAGCTGGGCGGGGGCGGGGGCGGCGCCATGCTAATGTGGTCGGATCAGGAGGCAGTATCCGGTGAGCCGCCCTCCCTGAACGCTCTCAGACGCAGATTAGCTCTCTGATTGGTCATCACATAGGCTGAGGTCCATTATCCCGCACGAGGACCTACCTCTAC